TGTTTGTTAATTGTTAAATTAATGTTTTATTTATACACACAACCCGTACGAAGGACGGGTACACAGTTAGTATAAAATATAAATGACTAATAATTTATTCTTTTATTTTGTATAAATATTAAATCCGTGTAGAATTACGTCACTCGGTGTTCAACACTTTCATTGGTTTAATGATTCACGTGGTCTTTAGGCAACCATCTGGTGAACCTTTACTATAACAAAATAAACATCAATCCGAAAGATGGCTGAAGAAATAGTATCAGGTCCAAGTGTGAGTGCTGTAACAGAAACTTGTACTCTCAACTCTTCTCATGAAGAGAGTATGGAACCAGCTAAGAAAAAACTACGCACAGAAAACCAGACCAAGAGTAAGGAAGGGCGACTGGAACAGAGACTCGGCGGGATTTTGTGTTGCGCCGTATGTTTGGATCTTCCTCGTTCAGCCATATATCAGGTTTGGAGTGATCAGCTGATTTCCCCCTTCTGTAGGTTTCAATTTTCTTGCTATCGTTTATCGATCAAGTTTGCCCGGTTGGGCATGTGTTGTTTTGGTTTGTTTTCTATTTCAGGGACCACGTCTGTCGATATCATCTTGTGGTACCAGCAGCCCCAGCCAAGAATAGTTTTGGTTGATTGAAATATACTTCCTGAAAAAAAAAAAAGTTGAAAAGGTAGAGAAGGTTAAATTGAATAAAATCATGTAATATACTTAGTGTTTATGTATTGAGCAGATGTAATAAATTAACCAGTGGTTTGATAACTTATTAATAAACATAAAGTTTATTATAATTGTGTGTTGAGTATGTTTAATCAAATTGCTGTGGCGTGAAATTTCAAAATTTAATATCTGAGTGTAATTGTAATTTGTAATATAAATACCGTTTTACACATATTAACTTTATTCATTATCAAAATTTAAAACACAAAAATTGTAATTTTAGGAATTGTCTTACCGAAGTATCGAGAAAAATCAATATCAGTGGACGAACTGTAAGAGTGACAGACTAAATGTTTTACACAAAATAAATGGAAAAAATCGAATTTACGAATAATGCATGAAAAGTAAATGAATATGTTATTAGAAATGTTTGAATCAAGGAAGGGAATGGACTAGAATTCACCATTTCATCGGTTTAATAACATTAAAACGTATTGATTTTATTTATATATAGCCCTAGAATATCCGTGTCTTTCTACGTTTCGTTTATAATATTTTTTTTGGTTGTCACATCGCAAATGATAATTTCTTTCGGGGTACTTGGTAAGGAAGAAAAGAAAGAGTTACAATATTATTTCTTTTCGTTTTTGTTATTTGAGGTGAAATATAATACAAAGCTACTTAGAATGTCTGTTCTCCACTACTATTGCATTAGTCTCTCCCGGTACACCATCAATGTACAGGTTGCGTAACAACGATTGAACCACGGGAAGAACTGCAGAGGTTTTTTTTGCTATTACATTAAAGCTATTTTTTCTCTGGTTTCAGCGGAGATGCAGAGTAATACATAAACAAAAACCTGTTTCATTAAATGAGTTATTGTGTGTAATGTTTTGTGGAAGCTGCGTAACTAATAAGTGTTTTGTTTTTTTTTTGCCTGTTGGAGCGATTGTGATTTCCACAGGATAAGATTAAACTTAAGTTAAAGAGCAAGTTATTGGAAACTTTCATAATGGTTGTGTAAACTTAAACAAAAAATCGAACTATATTGTCATACTTATTTTTTGTTTTGTAAATTTACTTGATATTATGTAAAAAAAAACCAACTAAAAACCAAACGAGTTTTAACACGAAAAAAAGGATCCTAAACGTATGCAAGGATTTCAAGTTACAATATATATATATTGTTATGGTTAGATAAAACTAGTTGTTTGAAACACTGATTAAATTGTATTTACTCCGCAGTTATGTACAGTTGAAGTATGTATATAAGATTTTATATCAATAAAACATTTTAATATTTTAAAGATAATGAATCTGATTTAAAATAAAACAGTTATAATGAGACCTCCTTTGTTTTATTTTACTTGAATATCAATTGCAATTATGTTTTATAGTATAACAATTTTTCTTTTATGAATTGGGACTTTAAACAAAAAAGGAAGATACAACTTCTTCAGAAATGTTCCTGACTCCTTCCCTTTCAACATTTTTTAATTGTTTTTTGTAAAACAGTATCTTTAAACTAGTAAAAGCTAATATTTGGGACTCTCATGACATTGTGGTAGATAACCAGTTTGCCAAAATCATAAAGTAATTAAAATTTGAAATTAAGTAATATTTCACAGGTGCTATATGCTGATGACAAAAAGTAAAAAAACAAACAAAAAAACAGTTGTTTGGTGAAAAATAACTTATGAAAGATCCTCAATCATATGACTATCATGGGTCTTCACTGTCTTGTATGTGGTCTCCAAATGAGGTAGCTGTGCTGATGTACATGTATGATTTTATGTCAGGTAGTATTTTTTTTTTTATATCCTGTGGTAAGCATTCCATTTCATTAGCCCCTACAATGTAAGATATATCTGGACAATCCATCTAATGAAAATTTTTAAAGCAGAAAATGAAATTTCAATCTTTCATTGTGTATAATGATAATATTTGTTTCACTTGCATACACATACACAATTGATTTATTTTTATATTGTTTATTTACGTTGAAAACACCTTTTTTTTAACATATCAGTGATACTAAAGAAAAAATATATTTAGTATTATTGAAGATTTTATGATTGAATGTTTTAGTTATGAATCAATAATGTATATGTAATTTATTGAGAAAACTTCAGGATCACCCAAATTCAAAAATTCCTATGTATAAAAATATTTTCACTTGGAGGTAAATATATTAATCCATTTTTAGGGTTTAAAAGTTTAATAAACTATTTTTAAAAATTTCAAGACATCTTAGGCTTATATCATATATACAGCCTTAACAAAATATTACCATGCAGTGTTTTATGAAGCTGTTATTTTTAAATTACAAAAGCATCACATAAACATTTATTATTATTATTATATGATTGTTTTTAAGTAATACTAGGGTGTTATTCCTTGTCATTTACAAATTCAGAAAAGTATTTTTATTCCATTTCATGATTTCAAATGTTTTTCATTTTTTTGCTTCCCATGAGATATGTGCCAATTGGAAATTTTTAGGCTTACCTCTTAATTCTAATTAATAATCATGTCAGTAAGTGTTGTTGAATGATAATGTTCTTGACTTTGAACTAGTAAGATTCTTTTAACGATTTTTGTATTTAAACTGGGTAAATTTTACTGCTGTTAATTATGTAATTATTATAAAAAAAAAGACTAGTGCACTTATAAGACAAAGTAAAATCGGCTATTGGAAATTTGAATTGATGATATTTTTTCATAAAATATCAAATACATGATATTTATTTTCAAATACCAGATGCTCATTTCCTTCAGTTTTTGAATATTGTCGACCATAATTTACTTGTCAGATACTTCTTGTGGTAATTAAAAGTGACTGTGTTTATGGGAGTTTCAGAAAATTTCTAGAAAATCAAATGAAAAAGAAAAAAAAGAGTTCCAGGAAATGGACATTGAAAGAAGTTCAGCCAAAATTAAAATGCTCAAGTTTGAGTGGTTTTATTTTTTGAAATAGAAGGCATATAATTATGGTCCTAAGTTATTTTGTGAAACTATATAGAGCAGCAACAAAACTTGGAAAGACATGTATGTTTGGTGACACTAGAGTCAAGATAGTTTTCTTTTTTTTGTTATACAACATATATATATTAAAAAAGTTTGCAATGTTTTGTAAAAAGCTAGCCATCCTTTCATAACCATACAAAAACTGCAAACAATATTTTTCATTTCTCATTCTAAAAATCCTCCAGTTATTGCTTTGTATGTATCAAAAAAAAAAGCAGTGAAAAAAAGTTTCACATCTGAAGTAAGGAATTGAGGATTACTCTCTCACAATGTAATGGGAAATAAAGTTACATTTTAAATTACACAACTTTGTGTTCTCTACCATTTAAATTGCTATACCTGTTTCATAATTGAGTAATTTATGACCAAACTGTACTTACTACAGTCCACACATTTTTTTATGGTAATATACAGCCAAACTACTGATTCAGTTAGTAAAAGCTACTGGATAGTTCTGGATATGATCATGAACTAAAAGGATTTTTATTTTTTTGCCCTTGTTCATGCATAGTTTTATTTTGAAATTGGAAGAAAGAGAGTATAATTCTGGAATTTTGTATTTAAAATTTCCAAAGATATTGAAAATTGTACATGTCTTTGTATGTCACAGAAAAAAGCTAATAAAATAATAAGCTGTACTTTTTTGTTTGGTTGTAAATTCTGTTTAACTCAGTGTAAAATTCTTCTTATGGTGAATTAGATAACACTAATTATGAAATTTAAAAGTAATAACATTCAGTATTGGTTTAAAATGAATAGATACCACAATATTTATTTCAATTCAGTATTAGAATAGTACAAAGTATAATTTGGAAGTAAAAACAATACTTCTCTTAGGAAGACAAACTGATAGGAATTTAATTGAAGTTTACCTGCTGTACGTATAATACAAAAATTTTGACAGACTGCATTTAATTATTACTTGTAGAAACTTAAGCCTCCATAATCATTATCTGCCATAATGTTGCTACACGTAACATTAACTTAAATATTTCATTATTATCATATTCTGTAATACCAAATAAACTGAAGATGTTCAGTAGTTTCATATACAGGATTACTGATATCTAGTAGATGTACGCTGAATGATATACGCTCATGCTCTATTCACTAGGTACATCATACTGAGTTGTTTGATGATGCTTGCTATATGAAAAATGAAGAGGAGATTGTACTTGCCACTTAACCATAGTTTTTGAGGAATAGAAGTTTCATCATGTGATAACACTTGCACAATAGTGGTAATAAAAATATATATACAGTTGCTTAGGTACTTTATGAAACTTCACATGTGATTGAACAGGCTCTTTACCCTTCTTACATAAAGTGCCATCTTTCGTACAGAATGTTTTGACAAAGTTTTTTTGCCCTTGCAGGTGGAGCCACTTGTGAACCGTGAACTTCCTGCTCGACCATTGTGTGCTGGAGGGTTTGACATCTTATTTAAATTTTTGTCTTTCTGAAAATTGAAAGACTATGTGGTTTTTTTGGGTGTACATAGTACTAGCGGTGCCTGTTTTTATTTGTTTTTGTAATGAAAACTGATTTGATTAACCATTTTGTTTTTATATTTTACAGATCAATGGTACGTATCTTATATTTTGAGATAACTTAGTGTGTTACTTGACTTTGATCTTTGTTGAATCATATTCTTAATCATCATATTTGTGGATTTTTTATTCTTTTTTTTTCCAGCTGTAATTGAAATTAGGGATTTACCATACTAATCGATTTACTGGACCTTTCCAGTGTACAAATGGTCATCTGATGTGTGCAGGCTGCTTTACTCACCTGCTGGCAGATGCTCGCCTACGAGATGAGACGGCCTCTTGTCCAAACTGTCGTACAGTCATCAGCAAGGACTCATGTTCTAGAAACCTTGCAGTAGAGAAAGCAGTCAGTGAACTACCAGCTGAGTGCCAGTTTTGCTCAAGAGAACTTCCTAGATCCCAGTTGGAACACCATGTAGCTGAATTATGTGAAGAAAGGTCTTTAGAATTAATTTTTTATTTTGTTCAAAGAACTGTAATATAGTTCATAATTGTAATAGATAAATAAAAACGAAAGGTAAAAATTTCCCTAGCTACTTAAGTTAAACTGTTCTTTTGTGGTTCTGTCACATCAGAAGTATACCACAAGTATATGGTCAAATGTCACTGAAAAGTACAAAGGCTAACTCTGTTGGCTAATTGAGATAGCCTTGTTAATTAACAACAAAGAAAGAACTTTTAATTTTGAAGCATCTCATTGCTAGGAGTCAGTAACACAGAAAATAATGCCAAACATATAAAAATAGGTTTGCAAATTGGTCACAGACACATCTGCACAGACATAAAATAACCCTTTTCCTGTGCAGGTTCAAATTATCTTTTATGACTATTACCCTTCATGGTTCCAATAATAACTTCAATAGAAACTCACTCCCTTACTTTTCTAACCATTCAGTTGGATTAAATGTCACTAAGTGCCTAAGCCTAATACACTATACAGTTGATCATTATTCTAAGTTTTCACATGGAAAAGTAATCACATGATTCAATTTCATTAATCAGTAACCAAGATAGGCACATGACATTTAATCAGTATTTTATAATGCCACTACTTATGGTAAAATGAGAAAAACAAGTAAATTGGGGATTATACATGTAAATGCTGATCTCTGCTTATTGTAATTAGAGCTGAGCAATTAGTGGAATTGCAACTAAAATTTTCTTTGTCAGTTAGAAGGTAATATTTCATCATGGTTCTCAAGAATATGGAACCAATGATAACTTCCAAAAGTGATATATTATTACTGCTGGAATAAAGTTTCAGAGCAGCCTTAGTATTGTTTTCAACTTGTAGACTTTTTTAATGAAATGTAGATTTCTCAACTTTTGTGATTTGTTTTTAAGATTTTCTTATCAATCTAGTTGTAATATAACTAGCAATGATCTTGACTATATTTGATACTGAATGCATCTGGAACTTGTTTTAATTTGCTCTTGTTTCTAATATTTTAGAGTTCAAGATAAGAGTTCTTTGTTTCACCTTTATAACTTGTGCATGGTTTCTTTTTGAAAGTGGAGCTTATATGCTTCACAATTCTCTTCTGTCATAGTTTGTTCTCTCCTGAAAAGAACTAGCCAGAAATCAGATTGAAGATTTATATCTTGTTTGACCCTTACAATGGCTAATAAAAGTTTTCTTTCCTTTTTTGTTTTGTAGCTATAGTTTTGAAGTTTTGTGTTGTTGTTTTTTTCAGTCTTTTTTCTGACTTCATAAGATGGATTCTATTATAGTTTCTCTCGTGTTTTTACTCTGGATTCCTGGAATTTGTTCAAGACCTATTTTTGTCTAGGATGTTCATTCTTTTGAGAGACTATCATGCAGACTTTCTCTTCATGCAACATTCTCTAATCTACTCATCATAATTTCTTACTAGGATTGAAACACTGTATTTAGTTGTCTCCTAAAATTCAACAACTGATGTTCTCAGCAGCAATATTCTCTCCTTAAAAGTGACAGTGTTGTGATCAGTGTTCAGATTGTTAAAACTCATCATAGGTATTGTTACGTCTCCGTTTGTTAATTAACTTTCCGTAACTTTGTTCCG